GTTTCATTTTTAAGTGGTCTCAAGAAGGTGTAATATAATATCCATGGTTCATTTTGAAGTGGTCTTAAGAAGGTGTAATATAATATCCATGGTTCGCCGTAATCTAGGAGAATCCTGTGCAGTTATATGAGAAATTAGGAAAAAATCGTTGAATCCCGTCACCGTAAGTGCCCAGTTTGTGCAGCGAGTTTCGGGGCTAATCATGTCAAACATGTATACATCTGATTAGGAAATGTACCATGAATGCTTGGGTCCTAGATGATGTTTTACATGCACAATATACTTTTTTTATCCATTCATTTTTTTAATTTTTTTCGAATGTACTAGTACAATACCCGTGTACTAGGTGGAATAAAAAGATTTGCTTTTAGGGTTGAACTTTAATACACCTTTGTGGTACTGTTTGTTTGGGATTGATTGTTAAGTGGATATTTATATTTTGGTTTTTGACGCACCTTCTTCAATATTGTGTTCAAACAAAAAATAAAAAATAAAAAATTAACGCTTTTGATTTTTGGCTTGCTTATTCATTAGCTTTGGTACTTTCAGGAGACTTTGAGAAAAGCTGAAGAGATTTTCGGGATGAATAATAAAGACCTCTACATATCATTTTAGGGGTTGTTAAACCGCAACATGCATTAGGAAGTGCATTACAAGTGAAGTTTGTGCTTCAGTCTCTAGGTTATGAGGTTTCCTGTAGAGTGACTCGGTGTACGCTTCATTATTTGACCTTTAAACATGGATATGTGAACACTGTTGATTGATATTTTGTTTTAAGAAATGGTTGATTTTAGAAATTCCTTGCAAAAAATATTCAAAATTTGTGCAAAGTTCTATTGTTGGGACTTTAGATGGCACTAATGTATGGTACCTATGTAAATAATGACATTTGTTGTAGTGTCATCTTTTGTTGTTGCTACAAACATAATGCCTTTATATTAACCTTTCAAATGGGTACATCAATCACCATCATAGGGCGACAACAATTAGTGAATTCGTTGGAAGTATGTAAGGCAATGAATGCGTATATGAACACAACATTGTCATTTGTCTCATAGCATGTGGTGTTTCTAGGATTTCCTCTCATCAACATATGAAAATATCCANTACGCGACATTATGAGACTTTTGTGCTTTATTGTATTTGACTTGGTGTACTATTATCACGCTCCTGGTCACTCATTATATACCTCTAGCGGCTGAGCGACTGAGGTAGAGCATACATGTATGATTGTTGAATTTACATATTTTCCAATTGACATATTTTTGACATGACAATGTAAAAAAAGAACATGTCTTATACATGCGTCAATGTCTTACATAATAAAACAAATAAAATTTGAACCAGAACCAACTTCTTGGATTGATTTCTGGATCCATAAATGATTCAAAATTCGTTTTTGGGATTTCTGAGATTTCAGGGGACCAGAAATCGTTTCTTGGTCCAGAAACCATTTCTGGGATTTCTGGCATTTCTGGGACCAGAAACGATTTCTGCGATCAGAAATCATTTCTTGAATTTCTGGGACGGAAATCGATTTCTGGTCCCAAAAATCGTTTTTCGGATTTTTGGGATTTCTGGGGTCCATAAACGATTTCTGGGCTCCAGAANCTGATCCCAGAAACAATTTCTGGGGTCCAGAAATGATGTCTGGTGTACGAAAAATGATTTCTGGGGTCCAGAAACAATTTCTGGAACCAGAAATCGGTTCTGGGGTCCAGAAACAATTTCTGAAATCAGAAATCGTTTCTGGAACCCAGAAATCGTTTCTCTACTCCAGAATCGATTTCTGGTTCAAGAAATCGTTTCTTGACCCCAGAAATGATTTCTGATCCCAGAAATCCAAAATTCCCAGAAATGATTTCTGGTAGCAGAAACGATTTCGGGGGTTCAGAAATGATTTCCGGGGTCCAGAAACGATTTCTGATTCCAGAAATGGTAAAATCCCATAAACGATTTCCGGGGCCCAGAAACGATTTCTGGGGCCCAGAAATCGTTTCTGGGGCCCAGAAATAGTTTCTGGACACCAGAAACAGATTTCTGTACCCCAGAAATTGACGATTCTTTTTTTTTTTTTCACTATCTTCATTTTACAGCGATTTTCTTCAAAAAATTGAGTGTACGAAATTGACCCATTAGAAAAACATGAACAATTGTAAACATACCTTTATGCCAATAACTTTCCGAGATTTTCACGTAATGAACCGGATTTTTTAGATATGAAGAAANATAGAGAGAAATATTATAGAGGGAAAAGAGATGAGAGAGAGATTAGATTGAGGAAGAGAGAAGAGAGAAATTTTTCACGTAATGTACCTTTTGAGTGTGTGAATTGATATTTGAGAGAGAAAGTATTTATGATTTGTTTTTAAGAAATTAGTTAGTAAGGGTAATATGGTACTTTTAAGTGCCAAAATGGCTAAAAAAGATGTTTTTCTAACATCATGGCTAAAATTTGTGTTTTCTATTTCTTTTAGGCTAAAAAAAAAATTCTCTGAAAAAAGAATCATCAGAAGGACGTCACTGAAGTTTATAACAATAGTACTCTCTCGCAGACACAAAACACGGGTCATCCGATCGCATTTAACACCCAAAGACGTAAAAGCAAATTGATTATTTATTGTTCTCATACAGGTTCTAAAAAGTTGTGCCTCAGATGTCCGCGAGAACAGAAGTTCGGCAACGCATCGCATGCGTCCCTAATCTAATTTTACCTTGAGAACAGCAGAATTTTGGAGTCTCAAACTGCAGCCTCCTAGCGCTACAGTAATTGCAAGAGCGCTGCACACGCAGAGTTGCAGTGGCCCACAGGATCGCAACTAAAGCCTTGGCTAACGGCAGCAGGCGCACTGTACATGGACGCAGAAGACTCAGCAACCCTCTGTTTTTTACACTAATAATAAGTATCAGCCATATATATAATAATAAGTTTACACCAAATAATAATCACTACACTAAAAATGAATGAAACAATTAGTAATTGTGACTCGGTAAAATTATATTAGTAACCCTACAAATTAGTTATAACGTTTGGTAATTTTTGACAATTTAATTCTTTTCACGAAATACTCTCCTTTTAATAGAGTTTATTATTTACTAAACATGTGTCAAGTATTTACTAAAATATTACGAATTTACTAAAATATTAACTAAGATATAAGAGAAATTTTAATTTATAATGTAAGTGATAGAAAATAAATTTCTTGTGTTAATCTGGTTCGTCCAACAATTTACCACATATTTTTTTTCTACTATAAATAAATTTGTTAAATAATTATGTGTATTATGTTGAAAAGAATTTTGGTAATTTTTATTCATATTGATTATTTTAATATTAAAAATATAAAATATAATTTTTAATCATCTAACAAATTTATTTATAGTAGAAAAAAATATGATACTCCCAGATTTTTTTGCTACTATTTTTAGTAAATAGTTATTCTCTTTATATATATGATAGATAGATATATTTATCTTAGAAGTAATTTGATTTGATTTCTTTCTTTTAATTCTCCTCCATAATTTTTGTACAACGCATATGAATATATCTGTTTACTACAAATATTAACAATTTGACTTTGATGGGGCAGAATAATTATAATTTTTGTACAACACGAGCATTGAAATGCGACCAAGTTCTAGGAATTTGGCCTAATCTTTCACATTTGAAAATGACTTCTCAAATTAGAGATTCAAAACTCAAAAGACTCAGTTGTAGCATCATATTCTGGTTGAGCCTTTCTTGAGCACTGTAGGATGAAGCACATGCCCAGATAAAAGTCAGACGAACCTAATACAATGCTCATCTTTATGTGAAGAAAGCATTACAAACGAGTGGTCATTTTTTGCGCAAGTAAGACAGGCGTGTCGAAAATATCAAACAGGTTAAGAAAGCATGTTAACTTTTGTAGAAATTTCAATCCAGTTGATTTCGGTTCATATTGTGAAGTGAAATATGTTGTATTTGCACAAAGCCAGTCTTTTTCCTTCGGCTACAGCTGATGTGGCAAATGCTGGTAACTCTCGTGTTGTTGATAGCCAGTTGATACGCTTGGTAAGCAGCTTCCCTTTGACTGCTCACCCATATAAGAATCAATTTGAATGGGAGAATGACCGATTTTGATATTGTTTGTTTTTTATATTGGACAAAGCTTAATTGCTAGCTTGGTAGAATGACCGATTTTGATATTGTTTGTGTTTGGTCATATGTTGTATTTGTGATGACCTTCTGAGGACACGATGTTCTGAATGCCTTTTTTAGCCCCTGAAAGGAAATTTTGGTCATATGTTGTATTCGTAATTTATAATTTCTTACTTTTGTTAGTGATAATTGTAAAGAAAAAAAAATGTGAGAGAAAATGAAAAAAAGTTAGTGTCCAATGAAGTGTTTGTATACAAATATATCCACTCAAAATGAGTTTTTTTGTCAATTAGAGTTAATTTTGAAAAAAATTGTATGATTAATTGTTTGTGATATTTTGATTTTATGTTAAAAAAATATATAAAATAAATTCATTAAAATTGATTTGATGTAAAAGTGGGAAATAAATTATTTGAAGTGATAGTTAAAATTATGTGAGTAGAAGATTAATAAATTAAAGTTGATGTTATGGATAAGAATAATTAGTTAGTATTATTTAATTATATTGATAATATTGAAAATAGTGAAATTGAGTTAAAGTTTGAATATAAATTAAGTAAAAATCGAGTGTGTTTGTATACAAACAATCAAACACCCCCTTATTAATAAGGGGGTCGAAATTTTTGTCTATGCATCAACCCTCAATTAATATTCATTTTTACTAGAATAATCCTTCATTATATATTAATAGAAAGATTTTTTTAGCTATATTAATCCAAAGCATCACTAAGTTATGTGTCAACTCCCGGTAGTTCGTAATCATGTTTTATCGCATTTTTGGTGTTCCATATGTGTCAAGTGTCAACTACCGGTGTTTTTTTTTTTTAGAAAACAATAGGATATATAAATAAAACACGTGTGCACATCTAAAAATCAGCTAGAATTAATCAAATAGCCATCCATCAAAATCTAATGAAAGTGAGAGAACTATACAAGTATACCCTATAACTAACCACGGTAACGCAGTAACAATACCAGCTCCCACCCACTGGTGCAGAATAAAAAACATCTAAAAAGAAGAATAAGCCAAAACCAAATTGATTCTTTGTACAACTCATAAGTTGTTTCTAATAATTTGTACAAACAAAATTATATACAAGTACTTTCAACATATAAATATGCTATTTATGCATCATGATTAAACACTATCATATATTTACGTAGTCAATCAATGTCGAACAATTTCATCTTATGTGCGAGATCGAAAGGTAGGATTCTCACCCCTTAATTATCACGATCTATCTGCAAGGAGAATAAAAAATAGTGAAGATGGGCAAACAAATATTACTTTATCAAGTAGTCCATCATAGTTTCCTACACGTTCACACATACGCCGAAGTTGTTCACCTCAAAACCTAGTCGCCAATGCTTCTTTAAGGCCCTACATATTTTTATTAGATGTAACCATAAATATACGTATCACAATTCCAAAACAAAAAGGTTCCTAAACTTATAAAAAAAAAAGACGGGGCGCAAAAATGATGCTTTGAGATCCTGTACCTCGATAGAGGGTGGAACATCAACATTAATAACTGGCTGCATCATCTCTATTAATCGCTTCACACAACTTGCTGCAAAGCCATGGACTACTCCAGTACCCCAATATGATGCTCAACATTCCCCTTTGAGAAGAAAGGTAAAATAAATGAGTATATTTAGAAATTGACACTTGATGCTTCCATCAATGTCATACCAAAATTCATCCAGCATAATGCTTTTAAGTTTTAGAGCGACATCATAAGCAAAGAGAATTGGTCGAGTGTCAAAGCATTGCCATAGGTTTCTTGTGCCACAAAAGATTAATTTTCCCAAGCACAGAACATAATTATTTGAAGCATGCAACTAGAACCATGATAAATAAAACCAACGATACAGGAAAAAATCAATACATTCATTTTACAAATGGAATATAACAATTATCACCTCACAAAGTAAATGGTGTCTGTTTAGCGTTGCAAAACGCGTCCCAATCTGACGTCTCTCCTGAGATACTCAACTCTTTCTTGGTCACTTTTTTCCATTGAGTAAGCCTCTAAGAAGGCAAGCACTTCCGGACATGGATACTTCAAACAAGAAGATGTGAGAATAAGAAAGATATATTTTATTTGAAGTACTAGGTTTGTCTCCATGAGAAAAATATTGTAACAGCAAGGAATACCTCAATATGTGCCATAACAAATGCCTTGTCAAAATCTTCATCTTTTAACAGGTTCGCAATTAGCTGACCAAGGTGGTGTACATATCAATCATCTCCAACAGCAAGCTTCAGCAGAGAAAATATTTTCCACTTGAGACTTAAGCCCTGAGATGTTTTTCACTATGCCAGACATAATCTCAACGATATCTCTCTGCATAATAGATAAGGAAAAAAGAAAAAAAAAAAGATGATTGGCTGCAAGGTCCGGAGTTTTATCAACACCAACAAGCAGATGAACTCATCTTAAGTGTTCCGGAGTTTCACTCATTTCCACCCAGGGCGGTAGAAGTATCATTCTCTTGGGCTGCATGATCACCGGCAGTCGAAGTTCCCTGTCCCACCTGATCGGCTGTGGGTAAAAACAGCATTGGCATCACATATGAGCAGATTATGCAAACGCTCGAAAAGTACGTCCCCCAGAACTGGGATTAAATTTCTCGCTGAAATAAGAAGCAACCGATCTGTTAGTACACCAAAAACAACAAAAATCTGAATTTGAAGAAACACGAAGAAGAGAAATGAGCAAAAAACTCACGAAATTTATCAACAAAATTTTTGGGGACAGTAAAATAGTTTCCAACTTCCAAACTCTCAGGTCAGCAAAACAAGAAATGACTTGCATCTACAATGCCTAATTGTTTGCATTGCAATACTTTCAAACACAAGTAAAGTTGACCAAAAGGAAAAACAATAGTAGCAAAAGAAAGAAAAATGAATAAACAATCCAAGCGTCAAATTATGTGAACCAAATATACTTATCCAACTTGGGTGACTGTAAAGAGTACTCGTGAATGAATGATACTAACTATACAGAAATGTCATAGGAATAATTACTGATCATATCCTACGTAACATGTGACGTGTCCAAAGACGAGCAAAGAAAGGAAATGAACATAATTCTTAGGAAGTACCATAAACATTTTCTTCTAGAGAAAAAGGGAAAAAAAAGTTGTTTTCAACAAATTTAGAGATGATTCATTTGGCCCCCATTTATTTACTACTGAAAATGCTTTCCGCGCTCTTATCCCAGTGTTTAATGGCATTTTCTACTCCTTTCTACAGAAACCTTATCGACCTACACATTCTGCAGAAACCAGTGGAACCCCAACAAAGGGAAAATCAGCATGGATCAGCCCAAAATAAATAAATTCAAATCAGCCCAAAAAGAATTACCTGTCCTATAGTTCGTCCACCTTTCTATCTTCGACAACTTTCAACATCGAACTCAAGTTCAAAATAGAGAGAACTTTTCGTTCATCGTGGGTATAGTGAACTCTCTTTCTTCGCCTTCATATATTTTGAGGAGCACATTTGTCACATGTTCCTGAATCTCATGTGTATTGCCTTGACAACTATATTTTGCGGCTATAGTGGAAAGTCTGTCACAACTAACTACTAACAAATAAACCCATTGGGGAGCAAACAACACAAATCGGGATTTAGAACTTAAAGCCCTTTCTACACAAGTTACTATTGGTGAGAACAGTAGAGCTTCCGAAAAAATTGTTACAAAACAAGCAAAAATGTCACAAACATTGTTATTTGTAGCACTATTTGAAACATGGCTACATAGTCTGTTTACTGCTTCTACTAAGTATTTTTTGCTATGAAATTTGTCATCTCCTAATCCCGAATAGTTATAGTCCAAGTGAAGTAATGTAAAATTTTTTATAGTTGCTTTTGTTTGGTTTTTCGTATCTTTCAATTACATACGCTGCGTAGGCGTTTCGTCTCGACAACATATAACATACAAATCTGCTCCTCGAAAAATAATTAGAACCTTAGAACCTCCTTTTTCCTCATAGATCAAATTAATCCCAAAATATAAACTTTGCCTCGTTTCATGGTTTAGGATACAAAAGGAATGTATGACAGGGAGCTTAATTCGAGTTAAGAAAATTCGATAACTTAAGTTGTGAAAATGTAATTCATATCTTTCACGAAAATGTGGAAAGTAACATTCTTCTCCTCTCGTCGTCCATACCAATCTACACAAGTAGAAAAATATTAATAAATATCTTTTAGAACCCATCATGTACGTATGAAGGAAAAAAACAAAAATTTAAGTCCTTTTTTCTCCAAGAACCCTAAATGAAGGTTTTGAAAAATAAAACACAAATTAAGGTTCTCCTTGTAAAGGGACTTCAATTTTGTTTTTTTCAAACTCTTAATTAGGATTCTTAGAGAAAAAGGGACTTCAATTTTTGTTTTTTTTTCCTTCCTACGTACATGATAGGCTTCTAAAAGATATTTATTATTGTTTTTCTACTTTTGTAGATTAGTATAGCCGACGGGAGGAAGAGAAAGATACTTTTTGTACACATTTTCATGAAAGTTTGGAATTACATTTTCACAACTTGGGTTATCGAAATTTTTTAACTCGAATTAAGTTGCATCTCTGTACTCACACCGATACATCCCTTTTGTATCCTAAACCAATTGAAACGGTACAAAGTTTATATTTTGGGATTAAGTTAATCTACAAGGAAAAGGAGGTTCTGATTATTTTTCGGAGAGCAAATTTGTATGTTGTTGCCTAGCCTACGCAGCGTAAGGAATTGAAAGAAACAAAAAACCAAACAAAAGGGACGGTAAAAAAATTTACGTTACTTCACTTGGACTACAGCTATTCGAGGTTAGGAGATGGCAAATTTTCTAGCGAGAAATAGTTAATAGAAGCAGTAAAAGACTATGTATCCATGTTCTAAATAGTGATACAGATAAAAAACTTGTTGACATCTTTACTTGCTTTGTAACAATTTTTTTGGAAGCTCAACGATCTCACCAATAGTAACTTGTTAGAAAGGGCTAATCACAAATTTTGTGTTGTCTGCTCCCAAATGGGTTCGTTTGTTAGTAGTTAGTTGGGACAAGCTTTCCACTATAGCCGCAAAATACAGTCGTCAAGACAATACTCTATTTTTATTTCTTTCCTGCCCTTGCAATAAGTGCCACAAAAACTAAATTATAATGCTCTCAGTAAGAAATGAGCTTGCAGTTTGGAGAGAACATAAACAGAAAAATGTAAAGTCGATCTTAGCCTCAGCAAGACAAATGGAGTACGATAAAGAAACCTATGTCTCCATATAATGAGAAGTGAGAACAGTGTAATGGTCCAAAATTTTCAACAATGATCCATATTTTTTTAAAACATACTTATATTGCCATAGTGACATGGTATATTACTAACATTTAAAATTTCACGGGGTAGACCAATTTACGGAGAGAGTACTATGTAGTATTTTACAACATACCAGTTCATATTGTGAGTTGAATCATGTCCTTGGTACTGCTGCAAAAGCATCTTCTTATACTGTGTAGCAATCACAATCTGTTGACTGTTGACTGATGATATTGTCCCTAGTTTTGCTATTTATTCTGCTGTCCATACTCTTGCTGTTGTGGTGCATCTGATAGGGCTTTTGTTTGGAATAATTGTACTGCATCTGAGAGGCACCTTGGATGGATTTTCAAATGTTGCTGAAGTAATTGTGGCTCCTGAAGTAATTGTGGCTCCTGGTAATGGTAAAAACATCTGTACTTCGTGTATATGTAAATTTCTCAAAAATCAAAAGGAGGAAAAGTCCCGTTTTTCACATCATAATCTCAAACCGTACATGTAGAAGAAATGACCCATTTATACAGCTAGCATGAGTGCAAAACGGGTTCGTCTTAGGTACACTTAGTAACCACTAATAATAGTGCACTAGGTAAAGAAAGCGTGAATAAATGAAAAAGTAAAAAACACAACTTAGCCTAAGAATTAAAATAAACGTGAAATAAGAAACAACTGTGAGGAAATATTAGGAAATATTGTCTGCCTCTGTTTACTTTGTTTACTTTCTTTTCACAAGACTCCTTTTCACAAGAAACAAGGAGGGTGGATCGATTCGTGAGACTCCATTTCACAAGAGAATGTAAGGAAATATTGTCTGCCTCTGTTTCTGTTTCTGTCAACTTTCTGAATCCCTGAGCTGACTTGTGAGGAGTTAAAGTGTTTTCTTTCAACTGTGAGGCTAATCCAGCACTAACAGCCTATATTTGGAAACATTTTCTAGTCTTTTCTGACCCTTTTCCAAATTAACTGAGTAGGATGATTTGGAGTCTCTAATGGGTTCTTCAGCCTCAGGAACAAGGGAAATGATCTAATATGGCGATTAGAAGCTTTTTCTTATATCATGTGCAGTTCTTCAAAGATTGACAAACTGAAATCATTATCCAAAATACCAGATGATATATAAATCACTTGTCCCGAGAATTAGAAGATTGTGGAGCAAAAGTTTGAGACATTTAGCCAATAGACAACGTGCTATAAACTAATCTAAGCAAACGAGTAGCCACAGCCACGAGAACGTCCAATTTATTTCAAATCCATTTCGAGTAATTACCACACAGCTTAATAAATCCATAAGAATAACAAGAAAAAACATTTCCATAGAAAGCCTATTTGCATAACATGGCTAACTAAATGTGGACTTCAAAGAAACAAGCAATAATGAAGAGAATATGATTTTCATTAAATTACGATCAGTTGATTTACTTTTTTTGTGATGATATGGCACAACCAGTAAACCTCTAATTAGTGTATATCTAGCCGCAGCTGCACTACCTGTTGTGTTGTCTATCAGCCAGTTATGCAGTTAAACACACTATCCTCGTTCATCAGCAAGCGAGATAACAAACACTAATATCTTGTTAAAGATATAGATAAATAAATATACTAACATTTGTATAATTATCCCAAATAGTGAGATCATTTCTTACATCTTGAGGCATTTGAGGAGTTATTATAGTTTTCAAAGCTTTCTGATTTCCTTCAGTATATCATAGGAAGGGGTCATAGAGTTAATAAACTATAACAGATGAGAAGAAACCTAAAGCAGAATTGAATGATACAGTAGAGTCGGATTTATTCAAGTTTAAGCTGAGCAAAGTGAAAATACAGAGACTGGGATGAAGGTGTGCTTTTCTTTTCTCCTTCACAGTTTCGAGTGCTTTCCCGTATGTAGCGAAATCTACAGCAGAATTTACATGAAATTTCAAACAAACCCCTTTAAACAAGTTTCATCAACAAAATTGAGTAGTCAGAGAAAAACACAAGTACAGCATACGTCTTTCCAAGTTAGCTAATACTACAACACTGCTAATGAAGCTGGAATTAGCTTTCTTATCACATAGACAAAATATTGCAGTTGGTGCATCATTGATGTCTCCTATGTGTTCTTTGAAATTTTCATAAAATAAATGGATATCTGACATAATTAACAAGGAGAAGGCAAACTCTGCATAACAACTGAAGTTCATCAAAAAAAAGAATGGAATTCACCTTCTTTGTGCTGAAAAGAACAAATATAATTTACAAATTTGTAGTAACAGTCAGAGAAAGAAAAATAAATTCTGCAAGTCACATTTTTACTTCAGAGAAACGACAATCATTGTAACTTATCTACAGTTTCAGAGAAAGAAAAAGTAGAATCTGCTAGTCACATTTTCGCTGTGCACAAGAGAATTTGAATACAGATAAGAAAACTTCAAATGAAAGCAGGATAACTGAAAAAAATAATACATACCATCATCTTGCTTCTCAATAAAATCAAGATAGAGATGTCAATTATCTAGTTGACCAGCCGATGCTGGGGTTCCACAAATATATCTCCTTCGAAAAAAAGCATTTTATCTTTTCATCCATCTAGCGTGCTCCCAGATAGAATTCTTCACCAATAGATCTATACTTATCCACCGCTTTTAACTTGATGGAACTATCCGGAGAATCTCGCAAATCCTTGATGACATTAGAGATTTCATCAGCAGACATTTCTTTTGGTGGACAAAGGAACAGGCATTGTGGAGCACAATGCAGTTATTGTTTTCATATCCAACCTCCTCTTGTAAATTGACAACACACTACTTAAAGCTGAAGAGTTAACAGTTACAAGACAATTCCATACTTCAAAAGAGAATTTAAGAAGAATGTGGGAAAAGGAGCTTATGTTAATTGAGATTTAAAAATGCAGGTGAAAGTTTAAACACAAAGTAAAAGGAGAACTGGACGTGGATCCACGTCCTGTGTAGAATATCATTACTTCAAATTCAGTATAGTAAAAATGTTATAAAACAGGCCAAAGTGGGGTTAGTAGAATGAGGTACTCATGGAGTTCTTATATTTTTTGTATAAATCATTAAATCGTGAAATGCATTTTTTTGCACCGAATATCCCCATACTTTGTGCATATAAGGTCTCTTAAAAAGCATTACAATGTGACAGATACAAATACATATAGACGAAATAGGAGCTGTGATCCATGATGCAGAATCAAAAGTGGAATAGCCTTTATTATGTCAAAGCATTAAAATATAGTAATCTTCATTAACAAAATCAGACGACTCTTCTAAATAATCTGTCAAAATAAACAAAATAGTAGAAAGATGCTCCATGACAAAATCATTAAAAGTATAGATATTTACATCTATAAAATGGTTAATTCCACTAATATTACCAATGAACATCCTCCGGGTCTCCAAAGCAAACTGCACCAAAACAGTCGACCCAAAAACCAATTGAATACTTTCCCGTGGCTGGTCCTTGCTCATAAATACTAACAGCTTCCTGAGTGCTGCATAACTTCGCCTTGTGGTATGCATATTTTTTCAAATGCCAACGACACAACGGGAATTTTGACAAAAGGGTGTCCTGCAATTTGAAATGATTGAATGTGATGAAGTTCATAAGAGTTTGGAAAAAATGTTGTATCCACCACCAAATTCTACATAATGTGAAAAATCACACCAGTGGTAAATCAAAAATGACCAAACTAAGACAAGCCTGCATGCATATATATGTAACTGTGAATGTATCATCATGTGCCTCTATGCCTTTTTCCTAAATGTTAAACTTTTAGAAATATATGTCACTAAACTCACATGCATCCCAGCCATCAATTTAATGAATCACCTGCAAAATTATCACGAACATTCTCACTCGTTACAAAGATTATCTCAGTCATCCACGTACAAAGACTATTGAGCAGGGCAATGTTTCTTTGTTTACACAATTGGAAAAATTATACTATGAAGTATGAACAATAAATGCACCTAATAACCTCATCTTTTGAACCCAAAAGATACTCGTACTTTTATCATTGTTCTATCATATGAAAATTTAAACGAATGGGGAATGGCAAATATATATAGCAAATATAGTTACAGTCTTGTGAGTCACTAGCTAGCAATCATCTCGTTGAACTTCTGAAAAAGACTGGCAGCTAGAAAACAAACAGCAACAACATATTTTACAAACCTGTTGTGTGGCCGTCCCGCTCTCTCATTGGCAGCGGAAGCTTGTCTTGAGCTCGTATGACCGCTTGCAGCCCGTTATCGGACTCCCAGAGATGCTGCTCGTGTCCAGTGGACTTCCGGTCAGCTGTCCGAACTCCCGGGCTGATTCCAGCAAGCCTTTAACAGCCCGATTTAGCCCATTTCAGCCTAAAAACAAGCACACGATTTAATTCCTAGTAATAACAATAATCAAAGAGGAAGAATACAAGGAATAATGTGCTGAAAATAGAAAATAACCGAGTAGGAACGAAAACCCCCTATTGACCGCCGGAATCTGGTCGGATATTGAAGACACGAAGTCTCCCGGCTCAGATCGTCCTTCTTTCTCGCACCCTCGGTAAGTGGCGGCTCGGTGGCGGTCAATGAACGGCAGCCCCAGTCCTCGGACCGTTCCCCGGGCTGCACCCGATCACCCGTTGCAGAGCCTCTCCTTCTCACAACAGCTCGCCGGAAAGCACCACACAAGGGCAAGAACCGGCGTGGGGAAGCTAGGCGACGGCGATGGCGATGGCGATGGCGACGGCGATGGCGATGGCGACGGCGATGGCGATGGCGACGGCGACGGCGACGGCGATGGCGATGGCGACGGCGACGGCGATGGCGATGGCGACGGCGACGGCGATGGAGACGGCATGGAGGGGGCAAGACGGCGGCACTCCGACGGCACTCACGGCGACTCTCAGCTCTTACACACTCTAAAGGTCACGAAGAACAGATTGAGAGGACGAGAAATCGATCGGGCTATTTCTGTAGAGAGAAAGAACGGGCGCGGCGATGGAGATTAGAGAGAGAGAGATCGATCTGTTCTAATTAGGGCAAGTGAGAGGAGTATTTATGGTGTAAAATGGATGGTTGGATTTAAACCCTAAATTCAAGGGTACAGATCCATCTTAGTGTAAGTGGGTATGTAAAGGTCGAATTGGGTCGGGGCTTCCTTTTGCAAAGATTTGGTTTTGGGCCAAATTTTAACATTTCTCCATCGACTTCGCCCACCACCGAATACCGGACATCTTGAGAGACCGGAGGACTTTCCTCATCGCCTTATGACACCTGCACTCTTCACGAAGCTCGCACACCTATCAAACAAGCAGCAAACACAAAGTACATCACTCAAGCACACAACAATTACAAGCACATCAATCACACGAATCAAAGTTCAAAGTTCTCATGCATGATCTAAATTTCTTGACAGGTAAACACTTAGTTAGTTCCCATATTAGCGGGTTAAACTCGGATGCAACTTTTTCAAGATTAACTAAGCCTTTGGACACAATATCATGAATGAAATGGAACCTATATGTTTAGTGCAATCATGAAAAATAAGATTTTTTACACAATTAGATCTCCGATTGGTTATCAGGAAACAAAACATTTTTTTCAAGCAAACCAATTTCACATAAGAGGCCCTTCAACCAAACAGCCTCTTTTAAGGCTTCAGTCACAGCCACACAAAGTGAACACATAAGAAGTTGTTAATTTCCTATTATCTCTATCATTTGCATAATTTGAATCAACATAATTTGTTATTATTGATGAGTAAAAATAAACACGATAAGATATTCATCGATGAGAGTAAAAACGCGCCCGTCAATCGGGAATGAAAATGCTGAACAGCACAAATCGTACAGAGTATAATGATACAGTGGTTGAGTAAAGAAAAAAAACAAGAAAAAGCAAGACGAGAAAACAGGGTTAGACGATCGACCTCTCTCAAGCTACCGCAATGTATATGCATGCAAGCTTTCACTAGAGGAAACAGATTTAAACTCTGAAACTCCCAAGTGGAAAAGAACCAACAAAAAAAAAAAAGATAGAGCAAGCGTGTCCTGACTATCATAAAATTAGCACGACCTAACAAGGCACAGGGTAGTGACCCAATCACCCACTTTTCGCATGCGTAAATTGAAATCACATTTTGTATCTCCTCATATATTGGCTCAAAAGGTCGCTTTTCCTTTCGTTAATGTGATGCCCTGAAAAACCAGAAGGTGGATCAGTAGTTGTTGGGCCAAATCTGGGACTGTTTGGGCTGTTCTTGGGAGGCCCGAGGGATTTGCTGCTGCTGGTCCAAAGAAATCCCAGCCTGAGTTTGGTAAAAGTTCGGGTAAGCTGAGGGCCCGTAATTCTGTGACTGCTGCTGGACTTGCCTGAACTCGCCAAGCTGCTGATTTTGCGTCTGGTAATTGTAGTACGTGCTGCCCGGGACAGCTGGCATTGTTCTTGAATTTCCATGAAGCCACATTGCCGAGTTTTCTTTCTGAGGGGATCCAACGATAAAGATATTTAATCCATCGGTCATTTCTTTTTTTTTTTCATTAAAAAGGAAGAAAAAATGAAGGTTCTCTTAAAATTACAAGTACCCTCTTAAATTTGTATTTGCCTAATAATATAAACACGAAACATTTGAAGTACCAACAAAAATCAAACCGTACTCCTAATTTTGGCAAGTACTCGACTTTATTTGTCTTAAGATTGTAAGGGGGCGATTGGATATAGAAAAGGTCTGGTTTTTCGACTGATAGGATATTTTCTTAAAACTCTTTAACTCAAATTCCAGCTCAACTTTATCCAACTTTAACTCTCCTCAATCTTATCAATTTAATTAAATAATATCAATAAATCATCATCACACATCACATCAAAAACTTTAATTCACTATTCATCCACTCACATTTTTAACTACTCATCATCACTACCAACAACCTCTCTCCTGCTTTTACATCACATCAACTCGAATCATTTACATTATAAATATTATTTAAATACAAACTCAAAATCTCACTCAATTCTCCACCCAATCGTGTTTATTCAAAGTTAACTAATTTTATCCAATAAATCCAATCAAAACTAAAATATTTTATATCCAATCACCCCCTCCTAAGTAAAGGCAGATTTTATCAACCTGGTTATACTAATACAGTTTTCGAGGCAACAGACACAATCAAAAGTGAAAAAGGGGGGGAAAACATTCGTCCATATTCCAAAGCGAAGCACGGAAAGAAAGAAGCATAGTATAGTACCTGCTGAAGGGAGAGCAAGTGACTATTATCTTTATACTGAGAACTCAAGACTTCATCATAACTCAAACTTGTTCCAGACGAGTAATTCCCAGGAATGGTCGAATTACTGCCGAAACCACTGTATCCAGAAGCAGGCAAGTTACTAGCTGAAACACTACTCTTATACTGAGGAAGAACTGCCGCCAAGGACTGATGGTAATTACTGCTGCCAGCGAAAGACTGCTGAAAAGCCGAAGGCACGTATGTGTAACTTTGGGGCAAGAAAGGGTAGCCAATCATATTGGCAAATGGCCCAATAGGAAGAGTGGGCTGGGAATAGGGATGGACAGCCGCAAGGTGTTGTGGGAGCGGAGGCCCGGTGGCAATGTTGGGCTGAGTAGAATGTAAACCAGCAGTCTTCAAATCCTAAAGCATCGGAAATTCGTCGATTACATAAAAAAATCATCTAGTCACGAAACCCTTTTTTTTAAAAAAAATTATTAATTGATATGTTGAAGTTCGGTTAGATCCAATTGTGGCGGTATTGGAAACTCGCTTGCGCGCCAGATGTCATTTCCGGTGGACTCAAATGATGTTTTTGTGTAGAATTATGTCTCGTTTTTTTTAAAAGAAAATGAAAGAATGAAGTAAAAATGACTGAATTAGGTGGAAAGCAGATTATATCAGACTAGACTACAGAATTTTTTTAAAAAAAAAAAAAAAATTGTTACCGAAAAAGTTTACATGAGTACCTCGGATATAGAGATTGCTGAAGCACCAATGGAGGAGACAGAGTTCCCATACTTAGCGGTCAAAGATTGAGTCAAAGAAAATGGGTACTGAAGATCTGATTCTCTGGTCGGCTGGACATTTGCGGCCAACAAAGCGCTTGGTAGTGAATTTGAGTATGCATGCTGCTAAAGTATTTATCCGAAAGTGAGAAACAGTGAAACACAACAGAAAAATAAAACAAAAACAATACAAATCAAGGTGAGATAATCAACAACGGACAAACTTCAGTTCAGACCAGGAAGAAGCATACTTAAACAAAGGCAGAAATCACAGGTGCCGCCAAAAGAAGAAGAAGAAAAAGAAAGGGAAGGAGAAAAACAAACTTACAAAACATAATCCACAGGAAGACGGTGAAAGCTATTGCCAAAAAATAAAGTTCAAAAGAAAGAAACAAAGAACGAAAGATAAGCTACAGATACAGAAGATCAGTACACTAACAAGATTGCAAAAGTTTCAGAAACTTCCATCTCAAAAGAACACATAATACTTATGTAACTGTAAGAAATACTTAAAACTGCTCCTCCTCCCAAATGCAGCCTTATGTATAAAGTTGATCATCTAAAACCTAAACCAAGATCAGAAAATATTTTACCATAACATTTGAAAAGGGAGCTGGACTCTGCATCTGGGAACTCGTCTGACTGAAAGCAGCATTTAAACGTTGTGCATTGTCGAAGGAATAACCCGAGTCCGAAGAAGGAAAAGGGTACTGATTTCCATGCGCCATATCAGCACTCTCAGGTCTCAACTCTTCCGGCTTTGGAGCAGAAGATGCATCGTAGCTCCCAACAGTAGCACTATTTCTATGCAACAAACTATCATCTGGAGTACTTCTTAGAGAGTCATCAACATAATACTCGGGATGTCTGCAGCAAAAATCAAATCAAGAATTGATAGACTACAATAAGCAAAAAAAAAAGATCAAGATTTGAAATATTACTAATTTATATACCTTGTTTCAGGCTGCCCCCCAGTTGATTCTTCAGTCTCGTTTTGTACCTCTTCCAGATTAGGTTTCTCAAGAAAAGATGTTGTAGTCCCAGAAGAATAAGCATCATTCATAGCAGAACCAAAACTTCCAAAGGTCAAGTTGGAGCAGTCAGCAGTATGAACTTGCAAGTGCTCTGGAATTACAACAGAAGGTGCATTCGCCTCAGAAGGAAACCCTCCATCATCCTTGTTCACACTTAGTTGTCGCAAGTTTTTGGTGACGGATATAACTGAAGCACCGATTTCATCAACTGCAAAACCAACAGGGTAAATAAGATTCAAGTGTCATTCATATTATTTCTCGAGCATTATTTAAATTAGAATACACCATCCATTCTAGAATGCTGCAATAGAAATTATATCCTGAGAAACATGTAGCCTTTGGGGCCAATATCCCAGCTCCAAACACTTTTTCGTACTTCTCAGTTTCATATATCTAACAGTTGCCCATATCATATAAGCACTAACATAAACTTTCCAAATTGAGAGATGTTAGACGTGATGGAGTGAATGTTATAGAAAAGAAACTTTTTTCATTCTAAAGAAGGAAAGAAACCTTCATGACGTTCGAAATCATGAGCCTCAGATTCGTATGTTCCCATGTTTTTATACAACTCATTATCGAACTGTGATGGACCTCTTGAAACATCTTCTGGAATCATTCTTCTACTGGATATAGAAACAGAACCATCATCATTTCCTCCAGAACTCTCAAAGTTATCATCATCTTCCTCTTCTTGAACCTCCTCAGCTTCATAGTTAGCATTATCATATGATACACTGGATGCTTCAGGATGTTCTGAAAATGGTATCACACTTGGAGCAGCTGGCTTCTCGATGGAAGGCCAATCATCACTGGTGGCAACATGCTGAACCGATGGAACTTCGGCTTGATTTACTTTGGAAGCATGATCTTTATGAAGTGATTCATTTACAAAAGGATCCTGAATATTGTGATGTGATTCATTTGGAGCGTTTGATCCTTTCTTGTCTGGTCTGCCCATCCTCACAATGTCAGCCATAGACACCTGACCAGGAGTACTCACCCAGGCAGGCTGATATCCAGAGGCTGGCTGTGAAACAGATGGCAATACATCAGTTGTCCCCAGAAAGGATCCTTTGCTTTCAGCAGAGGCATCATCACTGCATTAAATTCGAGAAAAAATATCATCAAGAAAATAATTATAAAATAGCCAGGTAGCATTAAATTCATAACTACATGCTCACTGTGAGTATAAATATTCAGGTTTCAATATGGATCAACATAACCTACATGATGGCACACTTTCAACAACAGATAGAGAACTTTATGCCGAGCAAGAAGCCATTTACTGGAAAGACGCAAACCTAGCATCTAAATGAACATAGGAACTATCGAAATCCGAAAGCGAGATGGACCATATTGACCATATGAAGATGGAAAACAAATGATGCATGATAAAAGCTATATCTCAATAACACAGGTTGGATGTACGTGCATGTTTGAAAGCACTTTCGAAAGGGACATTTGGATCTAAAAGTCTATTCCATGATTATAGATGTTTGGTTGAGAATTTGACTTCGGATAAGTAACTTCACCGAAAATTGGACAAATGAGAATTCACTTATTGAAAAGATTTTAGACTTTAGGGAGTGGACCATTGTAGAGTTGTGCCAAACAGAGACAAGCTTTACAATTATTCTGAATCACGTTTGCAACCAATGACCATTATTACTTGTTGGCCCATGCTTTCCCAACTAAATAATTTGAGGACACATTGTACCAGTGAAGTACAGACTTCTAGCATCCGCTCAACTATAACAAGCACGTATAAAACAAACCTGTGGCCTGGAGGTCCTCTGCTTTTACTATTCCCTGACCCACCATGTACTGACGATAACGAACTAGAATAAGGACCAGATCCATTTTCTTTCTTGTATGTCGTCTTCCCATACAATGAAGAGTCTGCTAATAGAACAATTTGGTCAGATATGCCCCCCTGTGATTGAATTACTATTTATAATTGAGCAATTCTTACAAGTACAAAAGTTAAGTACCAAACACACCAGAAGTATAATATTGTGCTGAAGAACTTCGCGCATATTGACGATCTGCACCAGTCTTATTACCTCGATTAGAACTACTATTAGCACCACGAGACCTGGACTCTGGCTGATCTTTACCCTGACAATAAAAGTAAAAATCAAATTGAGTAAAGTGGGGAAGGAAAAATTTGCTCCATTTAATTATGTAATGCCACAAAAATTTACAAAGCTACAGCATTTGAATCTCAAAACGGATTTAATAAAAGGAATCAACAATAGTTGGTCTATGTCCTCATAAGTAACTAAAGCATTCTGTAGTTAAAAAGAGTAGCAAATAAGAAAAACAAATGAGCCACAAAAGCAAGACCAATATCTAACAGACTCCTACATAATTTGTTCTGCTGGATTCATATTACTGACGAAAAAGAAAAAGGAAAAGAAGAAAATGAAGAAAAACCAAAAGGAAAATTTCCTGATAAAATTTTCCTTGCATTTGTAAGAAAGAAGATTGCGGTCAAAGCTCAAGGGACTATTACAGGCCAAGCTGTAGAGTGCATCATGAGGCAGCCCCAAGGCAAAGGGAGACGGTAGAATTATTTATTCAGGATAACAACAAACCTCTTTTTTCTTTTCTCGTTTGCTCTTCACCTCATGGAAAGGATCTACACAATTATAAAATACAATCAGAGATGGGCTAAACTAACCAAAAACAAAAAAACGAATACAGATTGAGCATCCAACTAGCAGTGTCATGCAGTTATTTTCAATTAAAAATATTCAGTGATACAAAAATAGGAATGGGAGCGTGTAACAAAGTCACTAAAACTAACAGCTCAAAGAGTCTGCAATCAGCTACCATAAAATACCAAAAGTATACATTTTAGTTCATATTAGTTCCAGGGAAATTATTCAGCTACACTATCAGCCAACTAAAGAGGAACATGTCATACATTAGACAACATCTAAGAAATAACAAAACATAGGCCATCAATATGCAAGACATACAAGAAAGTGATTCATATGAAGCATAGTACTAGCCCACAAAATTAGATTAACACAGACTGAATCCAAACACAGCCAGTAGAGCCAAACACCCATAGGGATCGCCTGAAAATACGTTAACAAGTTTATAAGATATAAAATTTAGTCAAAAGCAACTCAATGGAGAACAATCCAAATCGAATAACAGTAGAGAACAAGCACAGGTTCCACTACAAAAATCATCTAAAGCTCCTTCAAACTTTCATATCCAATAAAGGATAAAAATAATTCTTGAACATTGAAAGTTCTTTCCTTTTCTATCGTTCTTGTAATATAAAACGACACAATGCAAATAAGTAGGAACCATTTGTATTAGTCCTCTGTGTCCACAATGTAAAAGACAACTCTTTTTTCTTCCAAAATCAACATTTACACATAAATATAGATGCACCCAACAAATGAGCAAGTGATTAAAATAACTAAATTAATAAAAATTAAAGCTTTAAAGTTCGCCGTTGGAAAACCTTGAGAGAGCAGACGATTGACAGCCTCATTTGGGTCCATGTTACATTCCTTGAGAGCCACATAAATCTCCACCTCGGGGCAGTTAACTATCTCCTTCAAGCTCTGCACAACCTTCCGCGACCCCGCTGGGATGGGTTGTACCACGCCCCCCTTACCGGCGCCGCTTCCCCTGCTTGTACTCATCCTACCAGATCAAAATCTCGCAAACCCAAGGCGCTGCGCCTTATCCTTCGTCACTCACTCCTCCTCCTCCTCAAGATACCTCTGTAAATACAAAGAAAATGATATGCAGGGAGATAATAAGCGCGTGCACACACACACACACGCACTGAGTGTATTCGATCACACAGTTGCAGCTATCTGAAAATTTGGACTTGCCGAGCACGATTGATGAAAAATCGGCAGCTGGAATGGGATTTATCTGAAATTTTTGGAAACCCTTCTCTCTCTCCCAGTCTCTCTCCACGGTTTTAATCAAGATTTCTATTGTTTAATTCTTTTTTCGGGGCAGATGGCCTTTACAAATTGGTCAGTTTATCAATTCTATAGAACTTGGTGCTATTTAGGGCAAAGTCAAGTTATTTTTACCTCAAAAGGAAATCGAATTTAGAAGCATATATGGTACTAATAACAGTTGGGGAAACTGAAATTTGGAGGACATCAGCGCGGGCCGGGTACGGCCCAGCCCAACAGGTCGTCGAGCTTCAAAACCTCGGCGGGTCCAGAATTTTTCGTGGCAAAATATAGTTGAGGAAAAATTTAACAATATTAAACAAAGTATTTATATTAACAATTAAATAAATCGTTGAAGTAATCGGGTCTTGATGAGTTCCGTATTCAATTTGTTTTTGACTTCATGCTCAAAAATAAAATGGAGAATGGGGTCTAGTTATTTTATTTCGAGTTTTTACTATTATTAACAAATATACCAAAAATATTATACAACAACATCTATACTTATATTAAAGGGGTACTATTTATCAAATTAAGTAGCCAGAAAAGTCAACAGCATTTATTGCATTACTATTTCCGTATTATACTATATAAAAGGATATTCTATTTACTACATTTACTATCCAGAAAAGTCAACTGCATTAAATGTCATTACTATTTTGGTATTATAATATTTTATTTATTTAATTGATTTATTTATTTGTTTTATTTTAAAAAGGTAAGTATAATAAAAATATTTTAATAATAAAAAAATCAAATACCAAATAAAAATGTACACTTTGACTTATTTGATTATATTTGGTATTTGATTATACTAAATATATTCCTATTTAGTATATACATTAAATACTTACTAAAGTATTTATTTGTTCTATTTGTCAAAGTTAAGTATAGATTTGTTTATATTATCAAATCATAAAAAAATATTAAATCTATATTGTAAAAAAAAAAAATCATATAATTTTATAACAATTCTACTACACTATTTAACAATATTTCTTTTTTATTATATAATAAAATAATAATTAAATATTATATGGTGAACAACAATAAGTAAAAATGTTACTTTCTCTTATATTAAGGGATAAATTTATATACTAAAATTAAATTTTTATTAGTATAAATATTTTAGTGTGATAATATATTAATTATTTTACAAGCTGGCCCTAACATGCTCATATTTAATGTTTTAAAAGATGTAGAAAAAAAGCTTATAATAACTAATATTTTTTAGACTTAAACGTTGATTAAAAGAGATAAAATTTTTTAATTTTTTAGACTTAAACGTTGATTAACACCATAGATTGAGAGTTTATATTTAGTAAAATTCCTAATTGTAGTAAAAAAAATTAATTTTTGCTATATTTTAGAATATCTTTAAATTCATTATTAAAAAAAAAGAAAAAAAACTACAATGGAAAAAGCAAGTCAACTATATATCGATTTGTTGTACTCCTCAAATCATATTCACAATTTGGCTACAAGGAAAGGAAACTCATTGATTAAAATATTATTTTGTCAGTAATCTTAATGTACAAGAGACTTTAAGACTCCACTTGAATATTATAAAACTTTTATTGAACATTGTACAATTTCTTGCGTATTATAAACTTTTATTGAATATTGCATCTTATAATATAATATTCTCTAAATAAATATATCTCGTGCTTCGCACGGGTCACGTACTATATATATCGCGTACATTTTTCTTTATTCATGTATATAATTATAAGTCTGGATAAATAGCCTTAAAGTTGTGCACCCCGTGCATCGCACGGGCTCTGTACTAGTTTCTAAGAAAGGTTCAAAGCCAAAAGCTAGTTTTTCTATTGCAATAGAGTTTTGTGAGAATTGGACAATTCCCTCATTTCCCAACCTTAGAGTTGGAAATATCCCTCTCCATCTTCTCTCTATCAACTAAGAAGTTGGGAAAATGAGGGGTTTTTCCAAAAATTACACACAAGCATCCTATTTATACACACACACTAAAAACACACACATTTAATGAAATTATAAAGTTCGCAGGTCTCGAAACGTGGTTCGCAGCGAGTTTAGGCATGGAATAGTGCAGCTGGGCGCGTTCGCGGGTCGCCAAACCTTGTTTGCTGCGAGTTTGGTGTTGGCAGGGTGCTTTCGCGGCTCGCGAAATCAGTTTCGCTGCGAGTGTGGTATTTAGAGCTGTTGGGGTTTGCGTTTGGCGCGGCGCGAATCCTTGTTCACTGCGAGTTACTCATATGGGGGATTGTTATAAAATTGTGAAAGTATTATTAATTGTTTTGAACAATCAAACCAAAACTACTATTTATAATTAAATGATTTGGACAACCAAACCAAAACCACTACCACGTTAGAACAACCAATTCCTCAACCTCCATGTGATTTTTTTTTTTTTTCAAACGGCAACCAACCAATTTCATAAAATCTCAAATCAACGTTTTTCGGTGATCAACTGACCACTACCATACAAGTACTACACAATGTAGAAACAAGTGGCACGGGATATAACCCAACATACCCCTACACTGGCAAACAAGCCAATAAGTCTTAAGAACCAAAGAGTAAAATAAGCAAAAACATAAACCTTAAAAAATAGTACTAATAATAGCATTACAATGAGCTAACAAATCCCTAATAACCACAATATGAGGTCTCAGCTCCTCCCTGCTGCTCATCCCCTCTGCAATTTCCTCCACTAGCTCAGAAGAATGAAGAAGAAGTGAAAAATTTCCACAATTATGTTCCTTGGCTTTATTCAAACCCCATATAATGGCCTTTATCCATCCCTCTTCCTCCCCCTGAGCCCCTTGTAGAGTAGCTTGCCACTGAAATTGAACAGACCCCATCTGATGTATATGGCACTCTACCTGAACTTCTCCAACCAAAGATAGCGAGGCACTGAGAGTCATAGACGACTGACCTACCTCCCTGAAAAAATTATCTTGGTTAGATTGTCCCTGCAAGTGTCCTTCCTCACAAATGTCCCTACCATATTTTGAAGCAATCCACTCCAGCCATTCATTTTGAGCACCCACCACAATCAGTTTTTCATGAATCCAATCTCCCTTGTACACCCACTTGTTCCTGGCCTTCCACAATTGCCATAGCAAACAAGCTGATAACCCCAGTCTATCTTCCTTCAGTGTTAGCTTTTTAGCCCCACAAACTTGGAACCACCAAATTTGAAACACACCAAACTCTTCAGATTGAAAATCCCAGTCAAAGCCACACATTTTCCAACAATTCCTAGCTCTATGACAATTAAAGAGAATGTGGTTCAGATCCTCCTTCTGCTCTCCACAAATAGTACAGACTGAATCAATATCCATACCTTTCTTCAGAAGTTGATCTCTAGAGCTCAGAAATCCAAACCAACACCTCCAAAGGAAGTTCTTGATCTTGGGCTTAATGTTCAGCTGCCAAGTTGTTCTCCACATTTTAACTATGAGAGCTGGATCTCTACTTGAGCTAGCCTGAGCCTGATCATTATTCTTCCATCTCATTATAGCCTTGTAGACCTCTTTCACTGAAAATTCCCCTTTAGGGTGCCAATGCCAAATCAGTCTATCAAGGCCTCCAGAAATAGATAATGGAATTTTACTAATAATCTCAGCAATCTCAGGCTCAAAAGTTTGAAACAAAATCTCCTCATCCCACTGTCTTCTACCCACTCTCATCAAGTCACTAACCCGAAGCAACCTATGTCTATCATCTGAAAAATGACATTGAGCTCGAAAAGGGGGTTTAGAAGGAACCCAAGGAGAGTCCCAAATAGAAATATTAGTCCCATCCCCCACCTTATACCTAGTTCCCAATTCTAGAAATTTCCTAACCCCAATTAGACTTCTCCAGAGCCAAGAGTCTTGAGATTTAGGCTTCACATCAAAAATACTAGTCTGCCAAAAATATCTCCCCTTAATCACTTGGCTAACTAACAGATTTGGTTGGGTAATAAATCTCCACAGTTGTTTCACCAATAATGCATCATTAAATGCTGTGAGATCTTTAAACCCCAACCCCCCTTTATCTTTATCCCTCACTAACTTATCCCACCCCACCCAGTGTATCCTATTCCCACCCCTATCATTATGCCCCCACCAAAAATTAGCAATATTCTGAACAATCTTTTTGACAATGGAGATAGGAATCTTAAAACAAGACATAATATAAGTAGGAAGGGCATTAAGAACTGCCTTAATCAAGATCTCCTTCCCACTCTCACTCAGGAACTTGTTTTTCCAATTATTGATTCTATTCTGAACACACTCACTCAAAAAACCAAATGTCTCTCTCTTGTTTCTTCCAATTCCTAGGGGCAACCCTAGATACTTGGAAGAATGAACTCTTGAGATCCCAGACAAGACATTGCAAATAGACTGACAGGACTCCTCTGGCATGTTTTTGGAAAAAAATATGGAAGACTTGTCAAAATTTACTAACTGACCAGAATCATGACCATAAGTAGACAAAATAGAGGTAATAACATTAGCATGATGAATATCAGCTTTGCAAAACAACATTGAATCATCAGCAAATAACAAGTGTGAAATGCTAGGAGCATGAAGTCCTATTCTAATGCCTTGAAATTGACCTGAACAGCAAGCTTGGTTAATCAAAGAAGAGAAAGCCTCTGATACCAGAATAAAAAGATAAGGAGACAAAGGGTCTCCTTGTCTCAACCCTCTAGTAGGCTGAAGAAAACCCAAAGGAACCCCATCAATATTGAAAGAGTAAGAAGCTGAGCACACACAGGCCAGAATCCAAGATATAAAAGTATTATAGAACCCCATTTTCCTACAAATTCTAGCAATGAACCCCCATTCCATCCTGTCATAGGCTTTTGCCATATCCAGTTTTACAGCCATATAGGTTGCCTTACCTCTTCTTTTGCTATTAATGAAATGAATGCATTCATTAGCTATAATCACATTGTCTAGAATTTGTCTGCCTGGTACAAATGCAGATTGGGACTTAGAAATGCACACAGAAAGAACAGGTTTAAGCCTATTAGCAAGGACTTTAGCAATTAACCTATACACCACTGAGCACAAGCTAATAGGCCTAAAGTCAGCCACAGAAGAGGGATTCTTTTTTTTAGGTATAAGAGTGATTACAGTATGATTTAATCCCTTAGGCATTTTACCATTAACAAAAAAATTATCCACAGCTAGACAAACATGATGCTTAATGACTGGCCAAGAATGCTGAAAAAATAAAGCAGTGAACCCATCAGCACCAGGTGCTTTATCTTTAGCCATATCAAACAAAGCAGTTTTAATTTCAGCCTCATCAACCTTTCTCACTAGATCAGTATTTATATCCTCAGTAATTTTACAAGCAATACCATCCAAAGGACACACATTATCCAAGGGATTAGAGGATTTGAAAATATTCTCAAAATATGCAATCAATTCAGCAAGGATATCATGAGAATTCATGCAAGGGGTGCCATCAGGTCTTAACAACCCATCTAATCTGTTCAGTTTCCTCCTCTGATTAACACAAGCATGGAAATACTTACTATTTCTATCCCCCCCTTGAAGCCAATGAACCCTAGCCTTTTGCTTCCAAAAATTTTCCTCATTTTTATAGGCTAAATTGAGCTCCTTTTTATTATAAATCCATTCCCCCCAATCCCTATCACCACCTAAAACTCTAAGCTGATTCAATCTGTCCTTGCACTTTTCAATAACAAAGTTAGCTTGAGAGCTGTGGGATTTCTTCCAATTAAGAATCTGCAATCTCACATTTCTAAGCCTTTCTTGTATACTGAAAAGAGCATATCCAGAAGTTTGCTTGTTCCAAGCCTCCTCTACCACATCATTAAACCCATCCATATATATCCAGTTAGCATAAAAAACAAATCTTTTCTTAACAGGCAAGATCTCAGGCAAGCAATCCATAAGTAACATACAGTGATCAGAAGATAAGAGAGTAATGTGTTTAACCACAGAATTAGGGAATTTAAAGAACCAGTTAGGAGAAAACAAAAATCTGTCTAATTTCTCCTCAACAAAGCAATCACCTCTCCTATTGTTGGACCAAGTAAAGGGATGACCAATAGTACTAGCCTCCACAGCTCCTAAGGCCCTAACAAAACCCCTAAATCTGTCAAAACTAGCTTCCTCTCTTCTTACCCCCCCTCTCTTCTCATCTGACCCCAGAATATCATTAAAATCCCCACACAAGAACCAACAATCCCCCCAAGTGAGACTGTGCCTCACAAGCATCTCCCACTGCCTAGATCTAATCTCATTATCAGTACTAGCATAAATGAATATAGCCCAAAACACATTATCTATCCCTCTAAATCTAAAAGAAACTTCCAGACAAAAACCCAAACTCCTAACCTCAATCAAAGAGATATTCTCTGACCAAGTTAGGAACATCCCCCCTTTAGTACCATTAGGTCTAACATACAGCCACTTATCCTGCAACTTAAGCTTTCTACACATAGAAATCACAAATTTTTCTTTTTTTTTTGTTTCAGACAAAAAGGCAAAATCTGGGTGGTGGGTCCTTAAGGACTCCTTGAATTGGGAAATTGTAGAGGGCCCTCCCAAACCTCTACAATTCCACACCGACACTTTCATTGGAAACTGTGGGACCAGTTAGGGCTGGTTTCCTCCACCTCAGGTAACAGAACATCCCCAGATATCTTAACTCTCTTTCCTGTCTGACTCTCATTCAACTGACTCCCATTTCCCTCAGCACACATCTCAGCACTCCTTTTAAGAGAAACTTTCTCTCCTATCTTGACCCCTGAACTCCCAGCCCTATCCACCTGCATATTCTCCAAAGACTCTGCTTTGGTAGGTCTAGGTTTTCTAGTGAAAGAAGTCTTCTTTTTCTGAGCAACCTTACCTATCACAGGGGAAGGCTGAATAGACACTTCCACAAGATTAGACTCAATAGGAGTCTCATTAGAAAGGGGGGTTTTCTTGGTGTGAGTATCCTCAATCAGAATAAGTTTAGCTGAACTATCCTTATTCTGTTCTGCCACAACCACAGCTAGAGGATCCTCAAGGTAATTGCTACCTTTTTCCTTTTCCTTAAGAATGTCCTGACCACAAGACACACTAGTTTTATCCCTTACCCCCACCTCACTAGTAGCAACTACCTGATCAGCTCTAATTTGATTATCTTTGGCACTAGAAGTACTCCCCTTATTGAAAGAATGAGTACTCTTAGAGGAGCCTGAAAAGGTAGTGCTAGCTCTCAACCATTCCCCATACTGACCTACATCCAGCTCATTGTTTTTAATATCCACCGATTTAGATGAACAACTTTTATCAGAATGGCCAATTTTCCCACAGTAAAAACAAAAATTTTGAAGATTTTCATATCTAAAATCCACCCATGTGGATTCAGATTCAACTTTTATCAAAGAACCCCTAGGTAGGGCTTCATTCACATTAATCTCAACTAACACCTTAACAATTTGACCTATGTGACCATTAGACCCAGGTATTTGAATAGCTATAGGAGACCCAATTTTCCTTCCTATTTTCAATCCTGTATCCTCAGAAATCCAGTGCAGAGGTAGGTTTAGGATGTGAACCCAAATCTTTATAATTTCCTCCTCAGGAGAGAAAACCTGTGGTCCAGCGCACCAAACCTTCATAATAATGTATTGCCCATCAAAGGACCATGATTTACCCATGAGGATTCTATCCCTATCCTCTGCACACTGGAATAAGAATTGAAAGAGATTATTACCCAAATTTCTAATCATAAAAGGCTTTCTAGTGATCCAAATACTACTCAAGGTAGTTTTCAGACCACTGAAATTGACTTTTTTCTCCCCGAAAACTTTGCCTATAAGGCTAAGTTGACACTCCTTAATACTAGGGGCAATGTCAGTGACAGACAGCTCCACTCCTGACTCTTTATCAGAGAGTTTGAATTTAAGGAGTTTGTCTGACAACTCTTGCTCCATAAGGAAAACACAGAACAAGACCACTAAGACTACACCCTAACAACCCTCCAGCTCCAAAACTATCCCCTCACCCTCTCAAGCCCCACTCCCCAAGCAACTTCTGCCCCCTCCTACCCTAATCAAAACTACAAAACAAAACCTCCATGTGATTTGAGTGTTATTAAATTGGTCATCCAACCAATTCTGCAATCACTTTATTAATTGTGGTAATGAATTCATCTATAAGAAGATAGAAGTTGCTCTCGGCAGAAAAAGAAGAGAACACGGAACAAAAAGAAAGAAAGAGGAGAAGAGGAGAGAAAAATCTCATAAAAGAGAAATAGAAAAATTTATTTGTTATCACAATAACAAAAGAGAGATATTTTTTATTTCTATTTTTAAGTGCTCAATTTCTCGACTCCGCTTCAGTTCGTCGGAACTCGTAAATCTGGTGTGCTACATATTTAAAGACGTTTGTCGTTGTATCTTTGGAAAAGTTACGCCTGAACCGTTAGCTGCCACACGGGGCGTATTCTTCTTGCAGAAAGAGTTTTACTCGCATCGGCTAAATTCTTTCCGTTTTGATTTTTCAGTTGTAATTTAATTTTCAGTTCAATTGTAATTTTTTATTCTTTTTTTTAGATTATTTGTAAGAAATGAAAATTACATATCAGTTCGTAGGATTCCTGTGTAATTTTGACACCCGATTTCTAACAGTTTAAGATATAATGTCCATTAATTAATTCGATTACCGACAATCAAGAATTAATTAATTTATTATTATTTCACCGAAGATAGGGCTCATTCATCACATTCTTATTATGCCGGAGCTTAATCCACCTGCAGGGTTTAGCATAACAATCTTTCATGAACTCACTCTGGGGACATCAGCAAACTAACGCACATGGTGATCGTAAATATCTTAACAGCACATCCTATATATAATAATATTACCCAAAACAGTAGGAATATTAATCCAGCGAACTGAACCTCACCCATGTGAATCAAAGTAATATATATTATATATATCGGCCTGTTTAATATCTTACGGGTTAAGAGAACGCAGTAATTAACCGAGGCCTAGTTCATTACGACGATCAGTATAAAATGAACTTCTCCTCTCTGGGATTTTATTCAATACATAAATGTACTAATGCAACTAATCAGTCAAGACAAACTGTACAGTTGACACTACAACCGTTCGGATGGGGGTGTTCATGCCACTCTAGGTTGTGAACAACTATTCTTGTTTGCAAGTGACTGATAGAGTGATTTTCGGTTAGCCCAATGACGACCCACCCTATCTAAGTGCAGAACAACAGAACGTAGAACTTGTTTAATCTAACACGATTCTCATTCATAAATGGCAAAAGTGTAATAACATGCAAAGCCAAGCTTTCAGTATATAACACTAACACTGACGAGGTGGTGGTCATTAGGACGTAACATGTGTGCAGACCGGTGGTCGCTGGAGAAGCTGAATATTTGGTTCGGTTTGGATTGAAATCGAAAATTCGGTTTGGACCGAAATCGAAACCGAGTATTTAGTTTGGTTTTCGGTTTATAGTTTTTTAAAATTTTGATTTTCGATTTGGTTTGGATATAATCTCTCGATTAAATGAACTGAAAACCGAAATTATATATATAAGTTATAAAAGGCCAATATAAATAAATATATAATGATGTATTATTTAATGACTCAATAAAAAAAAGCTCACAGGCCCAAAGGTAGGTCCTATCCCATGGAATGGAATGGATTCAGTGGTAGAAATATTCCAACTCTCAATTACAGAACACCTCGTCCGAGTCTTCTCAATCTATTCAGTTAGTCAGTTGGTAAGAAAATTCCCAACTCCCAATTTCCAGAGATTTTCCTAAGTTGTCCGCCGCTCGTCCGCCGCATACAATTAGTGATGTGAATCACACACTCCGACTCCGTGTCTCCGATCGCCGCTCGATGTTCTGAACTTCCGCCGTTTTGAACTCTCCGATTGCTCCCGCACGCACTTCACCTGACACTCGACGGCGAAGCTCGTCTTCTCGAATAAGTTCACCACCCAGATCCCCTCGTACGGGTTGCACCTATGGTTCGTGTTTTTCTTCTCTGTAAGACTTTGAAGCTCGCTTTCTTCTTTTAGCTCGTGGCTGTTCTGTTGCGATAGAACAATTTAGTGAATTTCAATTCAAGCTCGTGATTTTTTTTGGTTAAATTTTATGTCTTTGATCTGAGGTTCATAGCTGCAGGGTTGTGGGTTTCCAAATTGTTGACATCCTGCTTCTGTTACTGTAATAAAAATGACAAACTCCTGATTTAGTTTTGGTTGAATTTTCTGATGGGCTTGCTCTTGAATCCCCATGATCTCTGATTTAATGCATAGAGTTGTGCATTTAGTGAAATGTTTCTCAGTTTCATAATCTTGGTGCAAGAGTCATCTCAACTGTACAGAAAATAAAAAATCCATTAATGCAATTTTCGCTCAAATTATAGATTATATATTTTTCATTTCTTATTTTATCGGATAACCGATAACCGAACCGATCAAAATGCAGGATTTTCGGTTTGAAACCGAACCGACCTAAAATTCTGTCTAAACAAGTATAGGCCCTGGCCCTGAACATAATTGGGCCCAATCCCAACCATTTTTCAAGGTTAAAAAAAAAAGGAAGATCAGTGAACGGAGAAGCAAGAAAACTGCACTCCACACCCCGGTGATCAGTAGACGGCCCAGCTCATATTCGCAGCTGGTAAGCCGCCGCCGGCAAGAGGAATTTGGCTTCTCAAAGCTCCAAAGAGGTAGTGTTCACACTTCCTAATGGTCTAATCCAAGTTGCCCAAATGACTATTCTTAATTATTTGTGAAACTTTGATTGTCATAGTGGCAGAACTTGAGAGGCTCTTTTTAACGTTGGCCAACAACAATCTTGATGTGCGCACTGATTGAGTGTCGATTTTTTGTTTATTTTGTGTTCATTTTACATATTAGGTTACTGATTGCTTTGCTGAAACCATGAAATATGTGTTCCTTTTTTTTTCTTTTTTTTCCTAAATTGAATTATTTTGTAATTTGTGTGAATGAAGAG